CAAAGGGTTGACAAGGATTACGAGATTTGTATGGGATAATTCGAAGAATAATCTAGATAACACTAAATAAATCACCATCCTGGTGATTTGAACCCAAAATCGAGAGGAATGCAAGCAGCAATGTTTCACTACTTTTTTTATGAAGAAACATAATTACATACATTTAAAATAGTAGCATGAAAAATAGAGTAATGATGTTTCTCAGAAACCGCGCCAGTAGACCTCTAGACAGAAGACGACTCAATATACTAAACGATGCCTAAATGGCCTTTCCATATTACAGGTACAGAGACCTACATTATCGTAGAAAGATTAAGATAGTATTAGCATCATGTTGGCAGGTGACAAAAGCAGAAAGATTAAATTTAGATGGACAAGGCATGATGAATCAGCCTAGCTTAACTTAAAGATAAAGAAGGCTGAAAAGTTGTTGACAGCCTAATATCTAAACAGTGTAATAAAGAGCATGCGCAATTATTAGAATATGAGAATAGTTGACAATGAATAATAGCTGAGATATTGAATAACAAAAAGCGATAAAATTAAGGATTTCGAAAAGTAATTAAAATAAATTCGAGTATAGATTAAGAGGAATCTTGAGTTAGCTGCGTACATTTGGAGACAGGACAATGTGAGGAACAATTATCTTGTATCTCACCAAAATTGAGCTGGAGACAAATGCTTGCAATATTGAATGTCTCTAAAGGTTTTTATGATAGCCCTATAGGTTCTTGGATGTAAGGAAAGTGAAGATAGATGAGTGAAGACTAGCAATAAGTCAATTTTAGAGGCACAAATGGGCTTTCAATTACATATATAGGTAGATATTCCGATGATCGACATTCTAGAACATGAGACTTTACATTAATAATCATATTGTAGAGGCCTGCTAAAATCCAATAACTATAGTAATTTGACTAAATTACTACAAGAAAGACTAGCCGAAGAAGAGGCCGTGTAGGCCTTTTGTGGTCACCAAGGCAAGGCAAGTTTTCTAAAGAAAATATCTTCTCAATCACTTTGTTAAATAAGTTTAGACAGTGAGTAAATACGCAAAAAACTCTTACAAAAACATCCATCAATAAACAATTGCATAATTCTAAGCAGGATAAAAGTTAAATAAAAAGAAGATAATGTGAGAGATGGAAAGCTATAGAGTGGTCGAATCTAATCTGGCGTAGATTGGAGGAAGCTTAAAGGGCTGGAACCCAAAGAACTGGAGGGAGATAAGAAGGACTATGAGGGCACACTATATGGCTAATTTACCATACCACCGGCACGCAGGCCAGCCGTGGTAGGAAAGGTTGCAGTCGCAGAAGCTGATTTCAGCTTATGTGGGTAGTTCAGGTCGATCGACTTTGCAGGTTGAGTAGCGGGTGCAGCAGACCGAAATGCCGACAGGGGCAGCAGGGCGTGAAGCAGAAGCCCAGTCATGCAGAGCAGCCCGAGAACAATATGTACGCAATAGTACATACTAGACCAATAGGCCAGAGTGGATGGGGCATCGAGCAGCAAAAATCCCATAGCACAGTACTCGAAGACTCGCATCTTGATGAGCCATTGAAGAAAGGCCAAGCTTCCAGGAGGCAGACCGCCTCCAGCCACGGTAATTAGGCTGGCCAAGCCGGACTCGGCGGAGAGTGCCAGAGGAATTGTCATGAAGGAAAGATAGTAGCCCAGATGCAGACCGTGCCAATAAGCGCTTACTAGCATCGTGATAGCGGTTCTATCATAAGTCAAAATTATAAACAATTGCGTGTGTATTTTTAAAAAATATCGCCCTTGAATAAATAATAACAATAAAACTATTCAATTTAGCAATGAAACTAAAATAAATGATTATTTGGTCATGAATATCAAAATAAGCTCTGATTCAAGTCTCATGATTTGAGCAAAAGTATCTGGGGTCCATATACATGTTTGGGCCTCAGCCATGGGAAAATTCATAATCTAATTACTATAATATTAAACAATCTCGGCAACAGAAGAGTTCGCGGAATTTCAGTTTTGACTAAAATTCATTATAGGGAAACAATATGTAAAGTGCATGGATAGTTGGCCCAATTCTACCTTAGTAAGACAAGCTTAAGTTAAGAGTATATCATAAAATCAGACTCGTTTGCCTAAGCGAGTGGTTGTATTCTATTCTTGAAATAGATATAAGAGGAATGTAAGAAATTAAAACTTTCAATATCTTACTGAGAAACAGTATCTTGTTCTAAAGTTGAATAATGGATTTAAGCATCAAGCCGCAAATAACTCAGATAAGGAAAAGCTCAAAACTATTATTATTATGGAGATAATTAAAATTAATGCATAAATTAAGATCGATTGTCAGAATCTCGAGTCAATTATGAGCCCAAACCAACCTGAATAGTTTTGGCCCCGGACAACGCTGGTAGACGTGACTGGCGAGCCAATACTGTACTGTCATATTCCAGGCCTTCATTCCCTCACGTACAG